CATGGAAGGGGGAAAAAAAAAATGTAGTTACCTGTCATCTGGGAAAATTATGAGGAAGGGTAAAACTTAACCTGCACTATTTTAGTGTAATGTCAGCAGATTTTAAAATATGGGCTACCTAACTACAAGCTTTTGCATACTGGAAGTTACTTGGAATTCTAGAAAAAAAAAAAATCTGCATCTATTGTTTCTGTTGCCACTTAAGACTTCATAAGCTTGCTGTCCTTCAGGGGAACTGTCTTAGCTCAGTATGTAAAAAGCATCACCATGCGAAACTCCATAAACTTAATTCTAGAAAGTATTTGATTATTAACTTTTGTGCCCTCTGCTGGCTCTGGAAACAGTAGCTCTTAAATCATTCTCTCTCATGAAGCCAGTTACTTTTTCACAGTGATTTTGAATTAGTAGTAGAGTACTTAAAAAACCCCTCAACGTTGAGGTCTCTGTAATACTGTCAACACTAATACTGTAACACTCTGATACAGTTACTTTAAAGTGAAAATGGAGTTGTCCAGCAATAATGCTGCCTCATTGTTTGGATCACAGGTGAGGAATACGAGGAAAAATTGAAACTAGAGGAGGAGAAAAAGGCTGCTGATGAAAAATACAGATACAAGCAAAGACAGATCAAGGAACTTCAGGAAAATCTCCTGGTAAAATATAAGCAGAAGTTCTGGTCAAACAGCGGAGGCTGCATGTGTAGCTAAATCCATGCAAGCCATCCTGGTGAAAGAAACAGGAAACTCTGGGGTAGACTTTTGCCTGTTCTTTCAAATCCTATGCTTTGTATGTATGGGTGTGATTTTTTTTTAGAAGGCTCTACCTCTCCTTTCAAAAACTGAGTGCTTATTTGAATTTTCTTGAATCACAACAACGTCCCCTAACAGCTACGACTTTCAAAATCCCAGATGCATATTGACAGATGCTCTGTTTGGCATCCAAGCAAGCAGCTGTATTTTTGTGTAGGATGCACCTCTAGATTGTATCATCCCGTCCCGTACTGCAGAGATTAAAATCCACCCATCTTGTGTCCTCTGGCATCTACAGCCCAGAATTTTTCTAGGAGAACAGATTCTGTTTTATTTAGCACTCAGGATGGCTCAGTTTAAACAGTATTAACTTACCCAAGACAGCTAGCTGACTCCTAGCTTAGCAGGCCGAGCATTAATTAAATGCAGGTAAAGGATAGCTTGTGGTCAGGCTCCACATCAAGGACTCACTTCTGGTTCCCCTGGTTATCAGAAAGCCCACTTGGCCCTTGAGAAAGAACAACACTTAACTCTGATGTGTGACAGTGTAGTTAAAATCTTCTTAGGCAGAAGAAATCAAAGGCAACCTGTTACGTCCCGCATGATTATTCTAAACCCTGAGTCACCAAGGGCTACAGGTCAACAAACATTCCTATTGCTTATTCTACCACCCCAGGAGGTGCACCTCACTTCAGAAATAACATCTCTGCAATTAAGGAGGGACACACATCTTTATCAGCGAGTAAGTCCTAGGATGTAATGACATGTTATGGTATACTCTTTCCTGCTTTTTCATGTATTTTCTAATAAAACCAGAGCCACCCTTACAGAGCTGATTTTATTCATTCCAGTCAAAGCTACCCACCTCTTCCACAGGAAACAGCGCTATTTTTCTTAGGATAGCTCGCACTAGTAAGTTGGTACTGTGCCAGGTAAATTGCTTGTAGACACAGGTCACAGGCACATTTGAAGATACTTATAACTTCATTAATACTTTTAAAGTATTTTTTAAAATATGTAAGTTATGTGGTCTCTCTTTATCCAGGTATTTATCCACTAAACAGTCTGACAGGCAGAGAGTTCGAGTTGCGTTATCAGTACTAATTGCTTGAGCTCCATTTAGAAACCGGTAGCAGCGATAACAGACCCTTCCCCAAAGGAATACAAGAAGTAAAAGGGTATCAGAACTGCTTTATAAACTAAAACTACTGTTCAAATGAATTTGCAGAGCATGGAAAAGAATTTTGATAGCGTACTGAAGCAGGAGGCCCTCTTCCAAGAGCAAAAGAAGGAAAAACAAGCTCTTATTTTGCAGCTGAACAAAGACATAGAAGAGCAGAAGCCAAAACTGGAAAGGGTTATAAAACAGGTTTGTATATTCCTTAATGACAACTTTATAGTGATAGACAGCAGTATGGTTAAACCCACGGAATTTAAACCTCACAGGTTTCTAAAAAAAGTGTCACATTTTCCTAATAGCAATGCTTTCCAAATGTTTGTTAAGTGCTCCAGACTATGCAGAGAAATTCGGTCTCTGAAGAAAACTGAAACAGAAACAGAGGAAGAGAGAGACATTGATCTTCGTGAATTGAAAAGCTTCAGCAGAACCATCGACAAATTGTTAGCTGATGTTCTAGAAGCAAATCCTGACTTAAGTACACCCTTTCAAATGTGCTTTCACCAGGTGAGTTTTGCAGTTAACTACCACCAAAATCTCGATTGATAGCTGTAGTCTAGTGATGAGCATCTTTCAAGGGCAACTCTTAACTTTCGGTACAACAGGAAAAAAGCGTTCATCTGCTTTCAACACCTCTTCAAATACAGAGGGTTATAAACCCTCCTCATACACCCAGTCCCCAGCCCTATTATACAACCATTAGGTCAACGGTTTGTTTCTTTCCCAATTTTCTAGTCCAATTTGGAGCTTCCTACAGTTGCTTCTGCTGGTGGCAGTAAAAGTTCTCGATCACCATCCACACAAAGCTCACTAGCTTCTGCCAGGTAAGTGCTAGCAATGGAGTTTTTGTCACTGTTTGTTTGTTGGGGTTTTTTTTTGTTTGTTTTTGTTTTTTTTGTTTTTGTTTTTTAAAATTAAAGTTTAAACCAGCAAAATTAGTCCCTAAATGACAGAATTCCTCAACTCCTTATCCCTACTTCCTGAACGTTCTATAAAAACTCTCTCCTTACACTGTGCCACCTTTATTACATTTTTCTAACACACAATTTTCCCTTCGGCGTCCATCGCAGTTTAAAATAAAACAGTAATTACAGAACAATTACTTGTGCTAACTGTGCTCTAATTAAAAGGTGGTTCCACATTATGAAAGCACAAGTTTGAGCTCCAGCCACCTTTTGCACCTGGTAGCATGAGCTCCCTTTTCTAATTACACACGGGGCAGACAGACCTGTACGCTCTTACTGACACCTTTTTCCCCTGTTCAGCTTACGTTCTACTGCCAGTGCACGTAACGTGCTGCAAGTTATGATCTCACATTCCCACAGGTTAAGTGATTGGTGGTCACGTCTACAAAGATCTTTGCAGGGGATCTTACCTAGAATAACCACGGCTGCTGGGTGGCTTTACTGTAAGCCACCATTCGAAGTTCTACTTTAGATACAGGGATTTCTGTATACTGATGAGTCAATTGTCTTTCAGATCCTCCAGAAGCACAAGATCAGGCTTTAGCCAGAAGTCATCACTCAAAATCATAGATCTGAGCTTGCCTATCAACACTCCTGCAGAAGCAGCTGCTGTTGGTTCACAGCCATCCAGGAGAGCTAGCATCTCTGATATTTCTAAGTGCAAAAAAAAGTCCTAACTAATCTTTTGAAGGCCATGGTAAAGGCTTCACACCAGTTAAGGCTTCTTAATCGATTCATCTGTAACTTAGTTATCAAGGTATATTGGCAATCTTAGCATTAATTTCTATGAGAAATATACGGTTTGGCTTTCTTCTACAGTACGTAATAAATTATCTACGAGAAACATTAAGCATATGTTTTATATAATAAAATAAACCAACCTTTGAATTACTTTCCCATTTCGCTTTTGGAGAACTAAAGATCTGCAAAACCCTTCATAAGCCATTAATTCACTTTTGTTACAATGAAAACGAGAGTTACGTTAAAGCCATTAACTTCCATAAACTGGTATCTTCACTGCTGTCAAAATAGTTTTACATTACTTTGCAACAACCCAGGAAAGAAAACGCATGCTTCGTTTCAAGATCAACCTTGACTATTAATCACAGAGTCATCTCTGATCATAACTTAATTGAAAGATGACAGTATATGATTAAAGTCAATAAAACTGTGCTTTTTCTATTCAAAATTAGCAACTGACCTGTATCTATGGAATTAGTTGGAAAACTTGCAGCTGAAGTACAATTGGCATTGTGCAGTCTGCCAGATATCACCTCCTTAGCGTGTTTTACATGATCTTTGGAGATTTTCATTGTAAATAGAGTAACTTGTTCCACAGCAATGCAACCACTGCCTTCAAGCTACTTGTAAAGCAAACGCCTAACAACAACAAACAACCCAAACAAAAACCAAAGTCCCACACTTGAACTTAGCTAGACAATAAATATTGTTTTAAAACTTTTTCCTACTTCAGGTTTTTTTTTTTTTTAGACATAGACAAGGTGTTCGATGCCTTTAGAGACTGCAGTAGGCTTGCCTTCACAGACACTGGGGGGTTCCATTCACTTGAGCAACGTACCACCAGTGCACCAGTATGAAACATCCCAGCAACATTAACAAAAATCAAGACACAGAATTAGAAAAATGAAGAAAATTTAATGATCAAATGAGTTTTATACATTGATGGCACATGACTTCCATTCAGTTATCCCCTTTCTATAGCTGGAAGTTAAGTTTGATAGAAAAATACCAACAAATAGTAGCCCAGGGGACGAGACGAACCAAACAGAACCCCATCTGTTGTTAAAGTGCGTATTTGATGTGAGTTACAGCTAACTACAGTCCTGGGGAATCAAAGAATTTCAGCCCATCAGACAGAGAATACTGTACAGGAATATCCCAGATTAAGAGCACAGGAAACTTAGATTTTAAATAATAACTGATATTTTAGGTAAGATATCCTTGCATCTTTTTCCAGCATATGATCTTTAAGAATTCTTTGAAACAAAATTCTGCTTTCCTATCACTCTTCGTATGCATTTCCTCAAGAGATACTCAGACAGAAGTTCATTTAGCTACACTCATCAGGATAGCGTTCTCTTGGGTACTTTACTGTTTCTTCTGCTTACTTCCTTTTTCCCTCTCAAACTCAGCTATTTGATTGAATATGTTAACCAAGTTCTCGGGCAGGTTTCTTTTAACGCCACTCTCTGTTTGTGCACTACCATTTAAAGACACGTCCTCATCTGGTTCCTTTGTTTCATGAGTCTCCTCGTAACTTCTTTTCCTGTTCTGATACTCGCTTTCGTTTTTATGCTGACTTAACTCCTGCCTATCACCATCATAACTCCTGTCACCTTCCCGGAAGCAGGTGCTAGAATACGACCTGTACTTCCCCACTGACTTGCCAGAATAGTCAGACCCTGCTGGAGACATGCAATACCTGTCTTGACCTGAGCCGTATTTCCTGAACGGCTCTTTTCTCCCCTCTACATCCCTTTCAAATTTCCTAAAATAATGCATCCTGGGTTTATCATCTGACTTATGATATGAACCTGAAGAACCCCTCCAACTGGAGAAATACCTATCTGTTTTACCATATTTTTCAGTTTTGCTACTACTTGGCAGATTTCTGGAGCTACTGTAAGAATCTCTTGAATCTTCAGACCTACCTCCAAAAGTGTCTTCATCATCACCTGGAGTCCTCGAAAAAGAACAGTGTCTGTCTTTCTCTTTTACCTCTGCCTTTGGACACACTAAGCTGTCTTGCCTTTCCAGCAGTTTTTCCACTTCAAAATTTTGGTTAAGAAAGGAAGCAGAGGTATCGGCCGGAGGCGAATACCACTCCTCTTTCCTAATCTGATCTTTATAATGGGAAGAAGCTCTAGATGAGCGTTTTTTGGAGCTGTGGGCAGACTCTGATCTATTCCGACGCTTTTTCCTACGTTTCTTGTGATCAGAGGAAGAGGAGGAAGAAGAAACTGATACATCTGATGAAGAATCACTTGATGATGATGAGGAGGAGGAAGAGGAGGAGGAGGAAGAGGAGGAAGTCGATACTTTCCTTTTCTTCTTCAACCTAAAAAATTTAATTGACCTGTGAGATAATCTTCAGTATCAGGCAAACATTATACACAGAAAGCAAATCTGTACTCCCCAGTCCTTGGCTGCGGTGAGACTGTAAGGCATGAATGGAAACTGAGCCTGACTTGGCAAGACAATTTGAAATATCATTTCTCTATCAAAAAATTAAGATTAAATCCACCAAACAGTTTGTTATAAAAGGCATCTTTCCCAGTTTAATACGGTATCACACTTTGCAAACACTTCATGTTGCAAAGTATTTTTTAAACAACTCTTCCATGTATTACCATTAAAGGTTATATGTACTAAAGGATACTACCCACAAAAAATTGTGGGGGAAAAAGCAGCTTACCAAGGTAGAAGTTCTACCTAGCGCAGTGCTGCACAGTCTGTTTGGAACGGACTGGTCACAGCCTTAGTTGCCCTTATTGCCACATAATCAGTACACTGAATATAACAAAGTTACCTTTTTTCTTCTTTTAAGAGCTTACGCAATTTTTCTGCACTTGTTTCTACTTTCTTTTCTTTCTGTCTCTCTTCTTTGGCAGCTTGTTTCTCCCTCATTTCCAAAGATTTCTTTTTTGAACCCAAGCATCATAAAAAAAATTACATTAAAAGCGTTAACACGGGTATTTTTCCCCATGTCCCCAACCCCATTCAAAGGTATAATTACACCAGGGATGTTTTACCAGGGTTCCCAGACCAAGAATTAATATTGTTCAGGAGTTTAGCATTGGCCATTGTGATAATCAGGTTTACATTAAGGACCATATTGCATGTTTTATTCCATTAAAAAATACATTTGACCAGCCATTGCAGTGGTACCCGTGATCCAGCACACCATGAAGCATGAAGCCCAAAAGGTATAGATAGAATATGCAAGAAAAACACAGTATTACCAACATGGAGAAAAGAAGGGGGGGGTGGGGAAGAGAAAGGTTTGAGGGGAAGTATCATTATTGCAGTTTAGAAGTGAAACGTGGCAGAACCCATTTCAAAACGTATTCGAGTTGGCCGTGTTTGAATACAAACCGTTTTGTAACAATTTCACAGACCAGTTTGATGCATGGTTTACGTAAGAAATCATGTTCCAAGGGTTTGTGGGCGATGAGCAGCACCAGATGTCAGATACGGCAACAACGGTCCAATTCAGAAGAAAATGCATTGGAGAAAAACACATAATCAGTATTACAGGAAAACACACTTCAGTGGCGTTTCCGCCATTCTAGCACAGCAGTGACAGTATCAGACTTGGGTATTAAAATAGAGGTAAATTCCAAAGAGCACCTCACCAGCTTATTAATCCTTTAACTACTGAAGGCTGTGAGAGATCAGACTTCTGCCACTTACAGCCCTAAAAAGTAGCTCTGTTCATATTCAGAGTGAGCAAAAAGTCTGATTATTGTTTTCAGAACTGAGCAACTGTCTTAACAGATCCCACACAGGAGCCCCTGAATCGCAGTTAGGGCTACGCAAAGCAACAAGCAACAGCTGGCATCGTGGGTTTGCTCTGCTGCAGCAATGACCCATTATACCAGAAAATGCTAAAGGAGAGTAAAACTGATCTCCTCCTTGCTGAGCACATTCTTCATCATCTTAACTGAGACTGACCCCTCTTTCTAAAGCAGCCAGATGTGGCTAGTGCTCAAATACCACACAGTGGTTCATCTAGGATGTAGTTCAGTTTTATTAACGAGATTGTCATATCTCCTCTTCCCCCTTCTTTCAACACAACCTGTCAGCATTATGGCTCCACCAACTGAAGAAGTGTCAAGGAGGGCCATCTACCCCAGACTATGTACTTCCTTACATGCAGAAGCATAGAACAAAACAAGCCTGTTCCTCAGTTTTTTACTCTTTGATCCTCTCTGGAAAACAAGTAAAGGAGGTAAATGAAAGAAAAAACGAAGAAAACTCAGATTAGCACAGAGACCCACCAGGGCTCACCTGAGGAACATGCTGCATGCAAGACAGGAGAGGAAAAAAACCAGACAGCAAAGCAAGCTAAGGTATTCAAAACTACCTGCCCACCCACCCTCCGCCTCCTGATGTTTTCCTTTAAGTCACCTCTCAACTTCCCCTCTCCTGTGACTGCCTGCGAGTTCGCTGTGACTGGCGTTAGTCTCTCTTTTCACAATTACTCCAGACGTAAGGATCTGGCACTACGATGGTGTGCAGTGCTTATTTGGCTTGCCCAAGCGTTTTACACTTTGCATGTCTGTGTGCGCAGAATGTTTTAACGGAACACCGTTAATCCTGCTTGTACGACGGAAAGCTCTTATCCCTGCTTTGGCAGCCAGGGTTAACAGGCTTTGCTCTTTCCCCGTCTCCACTGTTTGGCATTTCTTTACTACCCTGTTCAAACCAGTGGAGTCATCGAGAGGTACCTTTCTTCTGGTAGGTACAGCCATAATGCTCACTATAAAAGATTTACTGTGGAGAAGGGAAGCAGAGAATAAGACAAACCACCAACTTAAACGCTCCCTGTTCAAAAGATTTAATTTGATTTTTGATGTTCATTTATTGTCATCGAGAGCACGATACAAAGAGAAAGTAAAGAATCACCTGCATATGCTTACGGAGTTTCGTTAAGGCCTCTTCTGCTTCCTGAAAAGTCTCATCCAAACTTAAGGCTTTTTTATAGTAGTTCTCAGCATTTAGTAGTTTGTCTTCCTCTTCCAATCTAAAAGTCAAGTGATAATTCACATACAGTAAAGGCACAGATTTTCACAGGGGTTTTTTTTCCTCTTATTTTTAGGACTACCTTTCTTATTTGCACTATGCTATTACCACTGCATCCCTCCAAGACCCTATCTAACATCCTAGCCCATCTCAGTAAAGAAGTAAAATAGTATTTCTGACACGTTATTATCTCCTGATCATCAGCAGCAATACTGTTCTTTGAAATTTCAATTCCAGTTTCAAAAAACAGTCTCTCTTCTTAACACAGGGCTTAAAAGAAAATTTTGTATTACAGTTGTTAACCAGTACTTCAGTAGAGTAACAGAAAGTCATTTTGTTACAAATACTTTCTTTTAAAAAACACCCCAATAACCTTACTAGAACACATTCAAACATTTCACAAGACGCTATGCAAGCCTGGTATCCTACCAGTAAAAGGACATCAAGGATTAAACCTCAAATATTTTGCCAGAATTTTAACCAGGACAGAGGAGAAAATGTAAACCAACTGCACAAGCAGAAATGTTTCCAAAAAAGACTTTTTTTAAGCACACAGCCAAGAAGGAAAGACGCCATTCTCTGTCCTACCCGGAACGGTATTAAAAACGTATTATGACAAAAATCGTTAACAACCAAAAAACCCACAACCCTAATACTTACTGCCCGCCTCTTTCCACAAGTGTCTGACAGAGGTATTTTCTTGCATTTCTATGAGTAGGACAGTTTTCTAAAGCAGTTTCAAAATCACCTATGGCTTTGTTCAGACTCCCTTTTGTTGCATACCTAGAACAACAGGCAAGTAGCACAGGTTTTAGTGATGCTTCTCTTTCACCAAGAGAAAGACCAATGAAACAAGCAGACTTACAGAGCTCCACGGGCTACTAAAGCTTCAACGTTTTGCGGATCAATTTCCAAAGCCTTGTTGTACTCATTCATGGCTTCCACATGGCGCCCAACCTTAAAATAATCAACCCCAGCCTTCACACTGAGGAAAAATATTTAGAAAATATGATGTACAGTTAGCCTATGCACATTTTATACTGGTAATTATTTCACAAATTACGGTTCCAAACAAGTGACAGTAGTAAAACTTGACCTGGTTATCACGTACTTAACACTGGCGTCTCAGATTAATGGGATACTGACATGATTCCACAACAATATATCGTCTTTCATCCAAAATCTTAAGGCACTAGAGAGCATTTCTGCAGATGGTGCTACTACGTGACACTTTTCTTCATTTAGGGAATGAATATTTAAGTACTTTTCTGCACAACACTATGTGTGACCTACCACCCTTAAACTGGAACAGGCTGGATTATATCCAAAGCTAAAAATCACCATAGATCAACCACACGAGGCAAGATGGGTAGATAGTACATGCTGAGACCAGTTCATCTCAAACTCAGTATTTGGAGGTTTTATATTTCGTATTACCTGAACCTTTCTTCTACATTTGACAAGAGATTAAGTTATTGGAAGAGAACTGATGAGTTGAATTTCAGAACTTCTCATTACAGACTTCTTTTAAAAAATAAAATATATATTTAATAGTATAAGCAAATTTTTCTACAATTAATCAAAGTTGCAAAACACTATTGTTTTAAGAAAAACACTTTGTTAGCATACCAGTCAGAAATTCTAAGGCTTCACTCAATATATTTTTTTTTTTTTTTTTGAGCTGGTAGATTTAAGAGAAGTCTTTCCACGAAAAAAATTTACATTTTAAAGGAAAAGTCTCTCTCTTACTTCTGCCTCCTCCACCCTGTAGCATGCCCAAATACACTGCATAGCATAAAAGTGAGGGCACCGCTCCCGAGCTGCTGTTCCAAAGGCAGCTGGGACATTTCACTTCTCAAAGGCAGCAAGCACCCTTGTTAAATGGACACTTTGGGGCTTCAATGGCACAACAAGCAGCAGGAGGCCATTCAACACCCCGTTACAAAATGGAAAACTGTGACTTGGTATCTTCATAAATCTCACGCTCGCCTCATCAACGGACCAGCATATCATAAATACTCTAAGCAGTTCCCCTTCAACGTGACACGCGTTTGAGATCTGAATCTCGAGACACTATCACGTGCCCACTTGGCAGCTTGGGTCACTTTCAAGAAGATCTTCCTGGTTGCATCACTGCACATGCAGTGGAAAAACTGGTTCAATGTGTGTTTTCTTTCAAGAAATATAACCTATAACCTAATCTAACCCAACAACAAGCTCTGACAAGAAAAAGCATTGCGTACCATTTCAAGGCCCAAGATGCAGATTGCTTTTTCCTCAATGCAGGGGCAAAGTCTTCTTCGTTGAAATTTTTACTTTAAGGAAAAAAAACAAACAAAACCATCAAGCTGGCTTTCCGAGTCTACAAAATTAAACTGGTAACATGTAACGCAGTTGCAACAAACCAAAATGTTTTTTATACAGTGCCTTACTGCTCTCCCGTAGTCAGGAACGTTCTTCCATATTTGTGAAACCAGTTTTTCCCAACCCTTTCTAGAAGGGCTGAATTGAACCAGTACAGCTGCAGTACATTTAACACATATATACCACATGCACACCTGCTTTGGGGCCTAACATACATATCCAGGGCTCACAAATTCGATCATTGCATATGTTTGAGCCTATTTTACTGAAGGGGACAGATCTATGACTAAAATAAACATCTGCCAGAAAATATTAAGACTTACAACATCCTGCATTTCAACCCCAAGATGTTGACGATCTAAGCAATAACTTCCTAAAGTATTTGGTATGAAACATTTTGTGCGGCAACGTGTCTCACTTATTCAGAGCAACAGAATTTCAAATGTAAATTTCCTCCTCTAGGAGTTTGCCTTTAAATATTTAAGGACACGTAAGCTGCAGTCATGCAAATCAAAATGAAAAAGGTTTAAGTACAAGTGGTCTAGGACTTCCACTCACCAGTCTATTTCAATGGATTAGAATAATCTCCACAAAGCTACATAGGATAGGAACAATGTAAAAATCACTTACATTTGAAGACTTCTCATCAAAGACGGTGGATTTGATTCACTTATTCCTAGTTTTTCTGCTAAATATTCAACTAACGATGGATTAGCAAATCCTGGGGAACGATGCAAAACCTCTTCGAACGTCTCTGCTGTATTAGCAACTTCCATGCTTCGCCTTAAAAAAGCACCAACGTACACAAATGCAACCTCAGACGCTATACTCAATGTTATGATGATTATATTCAGGAAAAAAAAAAACCTATATTGATATTTATCATGGGTGACAAGCTACGTTTTATAGGCATAGATCTTCCTAAGGGTGTTGAGGCACCCTTAAATCCTTTAGCCTAAGCAAGCTTTTGAAACCTATTTCAGCACCCACCTAGGTATCTCCAGGATATACAAAAACATTACAAAAACTGCAGAGACAGCTCTGTTCTTCTGTCTTCTAAGGGTAATTGTGAAATTTTAAGAATTTCATATTCCAGTCTCCCAAGGTTTTTCTTTCCTGTTTTCTTCTGTTGTTGTTGTCTGGGTTTTTTTTTTGTTTGCGGTTTGCTTGTTCATTTGGGGGGCGGCGCGGGGGGGGGGGGGGGGGGGGGGTGTTAACATAATCTCTCAGCGACAGATACCTCGCTCTGCTTTTTGCATTCCTTACATTTTGGGAAAGATGTTGAAAGACCAACCAGACCTGACATACCCAGAAACACAGGAAGTGCTGAACAACAGGAAGTCTGCAATCACCCAATTTAATCAGGAACACCACCACAAGCTTAAAGCGCAGCCTGTCGAGGACGCGTTTCAGACACACCGAATACCCGCAGCGAGTACAGCTGAACAGCATTTTCTTACCTATAATGTAACGGGAAGTCATCAGAAGTGATTACCCCCAGTTTTGTACTGGAAAGGTTGGGTGGAAGAGCTGAGCTGTAAAGCGACACTGTGAGCTTCTCATGGTAACGATCAATGTCCTTGATCGCAGCTATAGAAACAACAGAAGTTAAGATAAAACCACAGAAATGTCTCAAAACTGAAACAAACACATTCCTGACAACTTTTGCAGCTACTTCCCTCGAATAAGGTCTCCAGTTTGATAATAAGACAAAGGATCTCCATGATTGCTTTGAGAAGGCACATCTCTCAAAGGACAAAGAGCCTGCAACAGAAGAAAGTAAGAACGGCGTAAACAAAGCCAAAAGTTTGGTGGTTTTTTCCTCCCCGAGATTAAGCCAGAAAACAATGAGTTTAAATCTTAATGCCCATCAGATCTGTGAGAGTTAAAAGCATGGCTTGCTTCCAAGAAAAATTTACACATCCATAAACGATGACTTTTCAACTCAGAATTAATAAATCTTGAGTACGGGTCCTAAAAAGAAGCATTTGCTGACTCAGCAAAGCATCATAAGCTGTCCACAAATTCAGACACCACCCCCCATCCCAAAGCCCGGCTTCACCTTTACACACACCATTCCATTAAGAGATGCAAGAGGCAACAAATACATGAAAACATTACTGCTTATTGAGAGCAAAATACTCATCAAAGCTAGATCTTACACTGATGTCTAAATCCGAAATCTCCCGTATGACACCACTTCCCAGACAAATCAACACCATGAAAAAACCAAATTCCCGAATAGAAGTAATCCTCCCAATCACGATATCGCCACGTTCGATGTCTCGAAAAAACAATTCTCTCCTTTCTTCCCTGGGAACCTCCATGAACCGTTCCAGGGGAGGCATAACGGCATAACACTCTGCAACACAAAAACGCTCACAGTTACAAAACGCCCCCCCTACGGCCTGAAAACACGGAACACTTCACAACAGCAAAACGCCTTAGAACCTGACTGGCACTAGCAGGACGTTTGGGTACAGCCCACAGAAAGCAACAGCGAAGCTTTTTGGGAATGCTGCTAACTGAAGGGCAGGGCCCTCACACCGACCCGCGGACGCTAGAGCAGCCCCACGCCCGGGAAGCCGCCGTTCACCCCCGGGCAGACTCACCTTCGTTCTCCTCAATCGTGTCGCAGAGCGGCCCATTGGGCTTCCACGAGTGAGCGAACAGCAGATCCGCCTTTTTGGCGATGAAGCGCTTTATCTCGGTGTCAATGCTCGCGCTCTCTTTCCTAGGGGAAACAGTACCCGGTGAGAAACACCCCGCGGCCCCTCACGGCCCGGGCCCCCCCTCACGGCCCGGGCCC